CAATATGACCAAAATTGTTAAAATTGCTAAAGGACCCCTAAAAACTATCTAATTTTCTACAAAACACCCAAGCCCCAAATCTGATGAATGTGTACAGGTTGAACTACATCCGTCGTGGTTGCCAGTGAGTCCAGCCGCCGGGATGTAAGAAGATGACGTCGGAAAGACCGAATTTGACTTCGATTTTGAAGTGGGAGGAGAGGCCGCAGGCCATTCGCTTGGTGGCCGATCGACGTTAGGGCTTCAAGGTGAGAGGTTTGTTGGAAGAGATCGATTGGAGCTGTTTGATTCTGGAACAATGGACGATGGACGACCTTGTCAGCGACGGTAGGGCTTCAAGGTGAGAGCTCTGCGTTGCGGCGTCGGGAACAATGGAGGTTGACAGTGGCTGGTGGAAGACGTCCATGGCAGAGGTCGAGTTTTTCAGCCGTTAAACATGGTGTGTGTGTGTGAGTAGTGTGTGCAGAGAGTGTGTGTGTGGCCGGCGACCGGAGGTACGCTGGAGGAGTTGCTCTCCGGCGTACCTCTGACCCCGTGTGTATTTGTGTGTGTTTTGTGCGTGCGTGTGTGTGTGAGAGAGAGTGTGAGGGCTGGCGTGGGTTTTGGGTTGGGGCAGGGATGGTGGGTGGCAGGGTGGGTAGGTTGGCATATTGTTTAATGTTGATGGTTGTGACAAATTATGAATGTAAAGTGGGCCAAATATGTTTGAATGTATTGTTGACAATTACCACATTAATGAGGATATAATAATGACTTTGTTTAGCCATTATATCATTGGATCTAATGGTTATTATTTATTCTTATTGCTTTAATGGAGAACCATTCTCATGTAAACCCAACTATATATATATATATGTAGAGAGAATCTATTTACCCAAAATATTATCAAAAAGTCAACCAACATTTATTGCATTCTATTTTCAGAAGTTTTTAAATTCAGTGAATTTTTTTTTTTAGCCATGTTGAAATGGTGAACACAAATTTTAGCCATAGTTTGAAAAAATTATCTTTTTTAGCCATTTTGGCACATGAAAAGTCTTATAACCCTTACTATAATTTTTTTTTAAAAAAAAAAGTTTATCTCTCTTCTCTCTTCCATTATTTTCATCTCTATTCTCTCTTCAAAAAAAAATCATTCTCTTTATCTCTAACAAAAAATAAAAAAATTCATTCTCTATATTCATTCCGGCAACATTCCGGTGGTATCTCGCGAATACTAGTGTAAAGGTATTGTTATAATTGATCTTTTTTTAATGGGCCACATATATATACTATAAAAATTGATAAAATGAATATGGCAAAAAAAAAAATGTAGAATAGATTTCTTGGAACATTGAATGATTTCTGGGCCCAGAAATTGATTTCTAGGTCCAGAAATCAAATATGGGCCCAGAAATTGATTTCTGGATAGTCTCGTTTCTTGTCCCAGAAATCGATTTCTGGTCAGAAATCGATTTCGTACCCAAAAATCACATTTCCGACCCAGAAATTGATTTATGGATCGTCTCATTTCTTGTCCCAGAAATCGATTTATGACCCAGAAATCGATTTCTGGATCATCTCGTTGCTAGTCCAGAAATTAATTTCTTGCCCAGAAATCAAATTTCCAGTCCAGAAATCAATTTCTGGGTAAAAAAATGTAATTTTGGGTCAAAATGTAATTTCTGGGCCAGAAATGTAATATCTAGGCCAGAAATGTGATTTTTGGGACCAAAAAAATCATTTTCTGGATTATCTCATTTCTAGTCCCAGAAATGTGATTTCTGGGCCAGAAATCACATTTCTGGTACTAGAAATCACATTTCTGGACAAGAAATCATTTTATAGTCCAGAAATCAATTTCTTGTCTAGAAATCGATTTCGTGACAAGAAATCAATTTCTGGCCTAGAAATCACATTTCTGGCCCAGAAATCACATTTCTGACCCATAAATCGATTGTTGTGACAGAAATGTGAACAAATCGATTTCTTGTCATGAAATCGAGTTTTGGGTCGGAAATATGATTTCTGGTTCCCAGAAATCATTTTTTTAGAAATGTGATTTATGGACCGGAAATCGATTTATGGGACAAGGAATCGATTTCTAGTCTGGAAATTGATTTCTTGACAAGAAATCAATTCCTAGTCCAGAAATAGATTTCTGGGTTAGAAATGTGATTTCTGGCCAAGAAACGATTTCTGGTCCCAGAAATTAATTTCTTGTCCCAAAAATCTTTTTTGAAATTGTTTGTCATTAAATTCTTGTCCTAGAAATTTGTGTGATTTCAAAAATCATTTTATAAATCATTTTATTTGTTATTATAAACATTGATTATTTAATTCTCAAATAATTATTTGAAATTTTTTGTCATTAAATACTTTTGCATCTTTGTTTTACAGATGTGTGAAAATGTTCGAAGTGTGCATAGCGGATTTTGGGATAAGAATGTTTATAAAAATGGACAGGCAGAGATGAACTTTATGCATTTGGGGAGTTTGTCGTATGAAGACTTTTTAATTTGAGTTAATTAATAACATTGTTGGTGGAGACAAGCACACATAGTTCGTCTATGGATATTTGTTATGCAATCGTGTAGAAACTACTCGAATCTGAGTTTATTTTTTATTGGCAAGCGACGTGTGTGTGTTTTGGAGCCTTCGTTGTATCGCTCAAGAGTGTCATTGAGAATATTTTTTCGTCTGAAGTTCGCGTGTGACCTCATGACAGACTGAAGCTCATTTGTCAGCAAACAAAAAAACAAATCCACAATAAAATGAAGTAGCAATACACACAATCATCTGTTGTTTATATTCTGGTGTTTACATATTCTTGACCAAAAAACTCCCTTTGCACAAGCTAACAAAAACACCTAATTCACATAACACACATCTTTATAATCTTTCATATACGAACATAACATATCATCCTGTCATTTTAGCATAAAAAACAGCACACTTCACTTCTTCTTTTCAATACCTCAAGGAATCCTGCAAAAATTGATCTCATATTCAGTTAAAGCATAAATATAAAGAAAATCAAAGAACTATCTCACAAATGAACGTATCAAAACAATTAAAATCATACTATGATAACAACTAGAAGTATCGTACTTGAGCCTATAAAGCATCATTAATGCTACCATGATAACAATTGTAATCATACTATGGTAACAACTAAGATATCGTACTTAACCCTATAGCATCATTAATGCTACCATGATAACAATTAAAATCATACTATGATAACAACTAAAAGTATCAGACTTGAGTGGAAACATCTAAATAGTTATATGGGTCCAAAAATGATTCTCATTCAGGTTTATAAGGCATATGGCATAGTTATATGATATGAGGGAAAAACTGAAAAACAATCAAAACTTTTTTACAAAGAAGTCTTAAAACTGACATCTTAATGAAAATGATTATTATGATGAGCTTGAAATCTAACCAAGATTCTCCACATTTTTAGGAACAAGTAAAATCCCTAGTGTAACCTAAGGCTCAAAACTAATCATAAAATTGGAGATCCACTAAAGTTAACTCACATAAGCACATATCAATTAACTTTGACTAAGTGGTAAGAAACCTTGCAGTTTGGTTGCTAAATTTGTAGAAAACGCATTTCCAACAAAATAGAAACAATAAAAACTAAAAAACCAAAAAACACAAGAATAGATATATGAACATATCATTGTATCATCTGCCTAATAAGGGGTTTTGAACTGTGGGAATATTCCAGATACATACTTAATGATGCACATAAACATGCACAAAAAGAATATTATACAGACCTTGCCTCGTATCCGATCAAACAAGCAAAGTTTTGTGTACTAGAGCACTGAGTTGTATCAGCGACGACAGAAGCTTTCATACGCAGTCCATTCTGAGAAAAAAAGAGAAAGAAAAAGAGATATGAATTATTAAACAAAATTTTAGTTAAGAGGAAAAAAAAAACAAAGACAAGGTTTTTGTTCAAACCAAGAAGACGGACAAGCTGTAGTTGAAGTGAAAGATATTGTGGGGACACGAGTTTTTGGGCGAGCTCTGCAAAGAATGTTTCTTCTGTTGATTCTTGTGGCCCTATTATAAGCCGGTCGACTAGTTCCTTCTTCAGTAGCTCCACAGCTGAACAAAAAAATAAAAATAATAAACAATTTGACCGTAGATTTGTCATCAACCAAAACTATAGGCAAACAAAAGGTTTGATGAGGTTGACACAGGCATTTTCACAAACAGAAAGCATGCTCTTTAAACCTTTTTTTTCACTGAGTTTAAGCTCAAATCAATCAACACATAAAGATCACTTAATAGCTGAAACAAGGTTTAAAAAATGCACATATAACAACAACAAAAAAGGCACTTAAATGCACAAAAACACATATAACAAGCCTCTTTTCCTCTTTTATTTTCTCATTCTCATAGCATACATAAAGAGCCATATGAACTGAGGTTAAACCTCTGAAACATAGTCACTTTTCACCCATATAAACATGCTAAAAAGGCCACAGCAAAGTCATAACAAAACATTTAATATAAGGCCAAATTAAGTACCTCAGTTATTTCTTTTTCGAAAACACATATATACACGCTAAGGACTTATAAAGTGAGATTAAAGCTCTAACAACACTTCTCTTTCATCATAATAATAATCTCGTAAGGCTTAGCAAGAATGGCACAAAACAATGCTAAAAAATATCTTTTCAGGGCCTTAAAACTGAATTTAATATGCATAACTCATCAAATTTTCACATAACAGGTTCAACAACAAGGCAATAATCAGGGCTAACAAAATTCACATAAACTCGTCATAAAATCAAAAATTCTTAACCATATACAAAAAGTTGTTTTTGTGTAAAGAATATGCTACATCAACTAACTCATGTAGTGCATAATTTAAATTTGAGAAAAGGGCGAAGATAAATTAGAAAAAATTGAAACCCTAATCACAAACACCATATACAGCTAGCAAAAACACCATATAAAAAACCCTAATTCGAACCTAATTTGAACTGAGCAAAAAAATGGCGAGGAGGAGATGCTCGGAAACGCTACCTGTTTCCAGATTCGGCGGGGATGAGGTGCTCGGAGGTCGTGAAGATGAATGGCGGAGGAGGTGATGAATTGCCTTGCCGTGGGTGAGTATCTCAGCCTGTCCTACCGAACATTGTCGGCTGGAGAATGGGGCGCTGAAGATGGGGTGTTTGAGGAGAAGATGAATTCTTGAAGATGAATAGGTTTTTTTTTTTTTTTTTTCTTGAAGAATGCTGTACGGTTTTTTTTTGAGATGTGGGGGGAAATGAATTGTGTTTGTGTGAGGTGAAAATTGAAATTGGGGGAAAGAAGTTAAATTTGAGTTAAGGGGTATTTTAGTAATAGCACATGTCAAAATGGCTAAAAAAGATGTTTTTTACAAAACATGGCCAAAATTTGTGTTTTGTAAATCTTTATGGCTATTTAATGGTATTAACACTTTTAAATTTTCTTTTCAAATTATTCCCAAAAAAATCGATTAGCTATATATGCGGGTTTTGTGAATTTAATTTACGTAAATTTTGTCTAATAGTTACAATTTTGCAAAAGTCAAAATTCTTTCTCATTTTTTATTAAAAAAAAATACTGATTACCATAAAATCGCGAATTTTTAGTTAGGCCAAATACAATCACATTTATCTTTTCTAATTACAATAAATAAATTGATTATTAAAAAAATCAGATTGGATAGAAATCAGGTTAATATAAGTAAATTTTGGCATGACAATTTTGTAAAAGTCAAAATCCTCTCATTTTTTATTAAAAAATTTGTTTAGCATAAAATCGATATTTTAGAATTAGGAAAAATACTATAACATGTATATTTACCTGATTGCAACAAATCATGTTTATTAAAAAAAAAAATCAGATTGCATAGAAATCGGGCTCAATTTCACATTGAATATTGTTCATGTGTGATTTTACACCATATTCATATAGTATCTAGAGCTTATTTGTCGCATTGGTGTATAAATTGCATTATTGTGCTTAATTCTATATTTGTTGGAAATATATTATACGTGCTTGTTTTGTAGATATTTTTACATTTTTTTAGAACTTTGGATATTAGAGGAGCATGGTGGGTGCCTAAGACTCCGGATGATGATGATAGATCGATACAGAAAAATGGAAGAATCGAGGTGAGTAATTGAATAGAGTTACTCATCTGTTAATTATCACTACAATGGATGAAGCTACTATTTGCCCTGATCCGTCTCATCTGTTAAGCCGTTTGGAAGATATTTTGGATTCCGACCCTCAAATGTGAGTAATTGAATAGAGTTACTCATCATATTCTTTCTTCTAATCTTTACATATGCTCTTGCTAGTTTAGTGATGATATTGTGATTTGTGAATCCTTCCAATTTGCTAAATTGCGGGGGAATTTGCCTCTTCTTTGTTTAGTCGTGCAAAGTTTTGCAGGTAAACACAGTTTAGATCGTCGTGGTGTATTAACGGGTTTGTGTAGTGCAATATTCATTATCAATAATGTTGAATTTGAGTTCTTTCTTCAGTGTGTTCTGTTGAATTTTTAAAATTAATTTTGGATTCTGTTTGTTCATAACCTATAATGCTGGTAATCCTTTTGTCACTTATTGCACCCAGTGATGAAGTGGGCTTTATTCATCCAATGCAGTTTACTGCATTCGCTGCACTCACCGAAGAGGAGGCCAACAGTTCTCCGTCCTCGTCTTCTGGAACTAAGCCTCAACCAGATGATGGTAGTTCCGATATTTTTTGGCATCACGGACATAAGCTTGGCATCTGCACCTTTGTTCTTGTTCCTCTCTATCGTGCGGCTAGAGATGCATTTATGGATGCTTATAATAGATACGTGATCTCATGCGACTCTCGAGAAAAAACAGGTGATGAACTAGATGGAAATGCATTGTTCCTGGACATTATGGAAAAAGAAGTTATGAAGCATAGCAAGACACTTCTTCTATTGAGCTGTGATTTTGGCACTGCTTGGAATTCCAGGTAGCTCTTTCTTTTTATGACGTATGCCTGGTTGTGTTTGTTCCGCACAAATATATTATATCCTGAGAAAACATCTGGTGCTATGTAGATATTGAGCCAGTAGGAGCTAGTATCATTCCAATTTTTGTTACTAAGTAATTTGGAGTATTGACGTTAAAAGAATCTTTTAATTAGTAGTTAGCCTGAAAAGGGTACGAGAAAAGTAAAGAAAAGAAAAGGAAAAAAAACTTAGTTCCATTACAAAACCATTGATACCTGGATTTCCTGTAAATGTAATTGGTATAAATTTGAAGTTTTTATCTTTTGTTGAACCTGACAGGGATATACTTTTTCTCCACTTAATTATTGAGTCTCATTATAATAAACTAGACTGGGACAGGGATAGCATAGACTAGTTTGATAGAACATTTCCTCCTCTTGTTTGTTGTGTATATGGGATATCTGATCATTGTGGGCGCTGCTTAGTTTAAATGTCTTTAGCAGATGCAATAACTGAAATAAAGGTAACATATCACTCTACATGTTAATTCTATCCATGCTCCTTCCTCGGAGGCTTAGTTTACCCAGACTCTTCTATTTAGGAAGAATACCCGTGTCATGTTGTGTCGACACTGGTGTGGGTATGAGTGTCGGGTGTGGCATTTTAGCCTAAAATGTTCAAGATTATCTGTATGCAACTTAGTAATGTTGTTGGTATGTTCATTTCCTTTGTAGGAAGGTTATTGTGTCGAAGAAGCAACTACTTCCGATGTTTATAGATGAACTACTCTTATCAGCTTTAATTCTATCCTTTTCACCAAAAAGCGAACGTGCCTGGAGCCACAGGTAGCAATTGATTGTCTACTTATCTTTAACACTTGGTTTACTTTGCGACTTTAACGTGCTTCCATTCTTTCTTGATGTATTCAGATAATATGTGCTTTACCTGCTCATGTTAAAATACAATAAATATGCACTATTTGTTCCTTGCAATAATTATGCACTATTATTAACCTATGCTAAGTATACATATGTTCATGTTGTAATCACATAATTGTCTGACAACCTCTAAATGATGTCTCACTGATAGGAGGTGGGTGATCAAGATGATAGCTGCAAAATGTGCAAATCTACAAGAGATTTTGGGAAGAGAATCAGAGTTAGTGAAAACTCTCGCTGAGGTTGGTCAGGAATTGTGGTACCATGTATACACCATGATTTAGACGGAATAGTATAGCTATTTATTCTTGAAGTTACAAATTCCTAAGTGTTCCAAATGTCTCCTTGATTTTTCTTTCTCTCTCTCTCTCTCTCTCTCTCTCTCTCTCTCTCTCTCTCTCTCTCTCTCTCTCTCTCTTGCATGTGTTTTACAACACACCCTACCAGTGGTTTCAATTTCTTAAATAGAAACACGTGTTATGGAGATATTGTCATTTTAAAATAATTGATATTTTTTTCCCTTTTAAACTAAATCTCTAGGGTATTATTTGTAACTATACCTTAATGAAATTTATATCGACGCATTTTCCCTTGAAAGCTTCTATATAAATCAATGTTATTAATGGCGTATAGCAGTAAATGGCGGTAGGCCAAATGCCGCCATAGCGGCTGTTGTGGCGGCTTATGGCGCCACCATAACAGCTAACTGCCATTCTTTCCAAATTTAGCATGACAGTTTGTCAAAAAATCCGCTTTGCCATACCTGCCATGGCGGCCATTTGCTAACACTGATATAACTTCCATTTCATTTTATTATTATTATTTTTTCATAAGTTACTTGAAATGATATTTTTATTGACGACGTTAATGAACAAATTTTCTTCATCATATAGGGTGAAGGAATTTCGTAGGCGATAGGATTAAAGCTACATGTTTATCTAGGTGTACTCTGACATGTGCCTATGCAATTTGATGTGGATAATTCTGCCAACTACTCTTTTCTCTCTTAATATAGTCAATTAGTTGTAGCATGACACTTTTAAAGATTTTTAGCATATTAGCTAGTGATTCAATTACCTCCTAAATTGAGTCCCTTCACGTGGGTTCAAGAAGTTCAATATTGTATAAACCATTTCAATTTGTGTCCTCTGTTTCCGACCAAATCGACCTTGGATCGAGATTAGATTATTTCATTTCCCCAATCTCCACATGCAACGTTTGAGAGTTTTGACATATTATTCTTTGTTAAAACTGTCCATCCTCTTAGAACTCTTTATGGGTTGCTGCTACTTTATCTAATTTTGGAAGCATACAGGGCTTACATTTTGGTTTGCAATGTTCTGCCGTGGCATTCTTGAACTGATAATTGGTAATCCTTGTTTCGGCTTTGTCGCAGAAATCTAAAATGAATTATCGTGCTTGGAATCACCGATGTTGGATGGTTTCCTACATGTCAAATTCACAGGTCAGGTTAAGTTAGGCCAGGGGCCTGTACTAATGGTTTCTTATATGTTAGCCCATGTATTATTCTGATAATCTATTTATGTTTTGTTTTAAGAGAATAGTTCATTTTTCTCTTCCTTAATCTGGTTACCCACTTTTTTTCCCCTATTTATTCCATTTAGCACGTGTGTATGTGCGTGTGTATGTTTATGTCATAGGTACCCTCAATGCATTTCTCTATTTCTATTTTTGATTGTTTTTGCTGATATATACTTTTTGGCTTCAAATCAGGTGCTACTTGAGTTGAAGGCTTCCAGAGATTGGGCTGAGCTTCACGTTGCTGATAACTCTTGCTTTCATTACCGAGCCGTAAGTTTTGAACTTGTTGTATGCTGTTGTCTACCATTCTGAATAAACCTTCATCAGAAGTGGCAAGCTCTATAATTGCCATGACCATTAGGTGTTGGTTTCAAATATATTGCACATATCTCTCTCTCTCTGTGTGTTAAGAGGAGGGGGTGAGGGTGGGGATATGTGGCCCTATCAGAAAGTGAAAAGCATTTAACACAGACACAAATAGTGCAATCTCTATGAAATTCACAATTAGGTTTACTACAGGCTACAACAAACAATAGTATAGGAAATTACATGAACTAAATAATTTCTGAATTATCTCCTAAAGATGGACTTCTAAAGAAGTGACTAATTTTGAAAGTGCATCTAGAAGAGTTAAGTACTACTACATAACTCTATGGGGCCAATGGATCTTTTTTGGCTAAGAGAAGTTGTTTGGGTATGATCAAGGCTTCAACAATGTGTTCTGGCATCTCCATCATTGAACTGTGAAGAAAATTATTATATTAAAATTGTTGTTATTTCATGATAATATTTTCAATATTATAAGTAACTATTGAGATAGCCTGTACAAACAAAACTAATAATATTGTGTGGGATGTCAGCGCTTATTACTCCAGATGGTAGAGAATTTACAGCTGCATAAAGATGGCTTGTCGGGGGCAGAATTTCATAAAACATGGAAGGTTTGGTCCATAAATTTTTGGAATAACATTAGCTTCCAAATTTTGTTCCCATATGTCATGAAATTAAGCACACTGCCTACTTATTTCTAATCAGGAATAAGATGCGCAGCCTAGATGATTTTGGCGATATATTATAGTAGTTGAGTAATTTTTTGCTTTTATTTATCTAAGATCGCAATTTTTGAATGTTACTTCATGTGCTTCTATTTATCTCATGAAGTTGAAATAACTTTGATAGTTTAGCTGATGAATTTCATGGTTACTTAGAGAATTTACAAGCTCTATCTTGTATAATGGAAATTTTAAACTCTCTGAGAGACGAAGTTCTTTGATTCATAACCTTTTTTTTTTTTTTTTTTTTTTTTTTT